TTATCCATATATTTTCATATTTTTTTTCATAAAATTAACTATCTAGTATTTTTTTTATATGCAKCMGGTCTTTCTATTAAGCCCTGTATTTATTTATAAGACATATTGTATAGTTAGTTGTATTTTAAACCATTAATCTAAGTRTTTTATTCCGTTGTATTATATCRCTTTAAAAACTTCATGACATCATGACGCGTTAAATAGACGGGAAAATATCTGATAATATGATCAATGGATACACATTTTTATTGTTATATACTTGCATTTACATAACTATGTATAGAATATTAACCCTCTTAAACTTTAGGGTAGGTAACATAAACGAAACAATTTATTGACAAACGTACACGTTCAACGCGTTTCAATAATAAGAATTCGACACGTGAAGAGTGTAGGAGGTGATGACATTGTTTACAACTTATCGAACAATCAGCCTATCGATAAGTTATTGTCAACTAATCGTTTCATGTGTAGGGCATGGGTTTCTTCTTTATGATGAGAAAAAAAAATACGATATCATTGTATCAATGTACCTATACAGATAAGCAACAATATTAAATTTCAAACGGTGCGATGAATGTGTAATCAGTRTTGTATATTATTATACTGTTTAGATATAGGTTAGATATTACAATACCTATTCATTTTAAAAAGGTGTTTTTTGTGAGTCTATCATCTTGTTTCAGAGCAGAAAAATGCATTAATATTCAACTTGAGGGTGATTTTTGGTTGAAAATCCGTAAATCAGAATATCGAAATATAATTTAAATACTTACTTCGTCGCTCATACTGTTTGGATAGATGTTAATGGCCGCATCTAAGAGGAGATCTATAAGGAGTCCGAACCCGCTTGAAATTTTATTTTGATATTTATTTTTAATACCTACTTATATAAATATGACTGTCCTGCATCATATTAATATGATATATTATAATCATCTAATAATTGATCGTCATTGATAGACAACGATACTATTGATGTCGGTCCGCGGCTCACGACGATTAACAACAGTATTAAATTTATGTGAAGATARTAGTTGTTAGGTAATTTAAATGTATGTGTAAAAATAAAGATAATGTACTAYTTAATATACYTATTTTTATAAACACTTATGTGAATAGATTTATTGAAGTCACAAAATGTAATTTGAATTCGGATTTGAATATATATAATTTTTATTTTTTTCGTCCGTATTTTGTCAACTTTAGTTTTTTAT